TCCTCTGACACCATGCGCTGTCAATTTTAGCTGTGGTACATGATGGCCCGGTGCTGGTCCCCAAATTGGTCAACCAGGGTCTCAAGGGTTTCTTCATAGGTCGCTCCTCTTGGGACTTTGTATAGCACTTCGATGGTCTGGCCCTGCAAGGCAGTGATCTAGTATGTGGATTTTTCCTGGCATGTCAAGCAATTATACTCTGTTACAATCTTGAACTGGCGCAGGAACACAGCCTGTGATATAGTTCATCAAACTTAGGTGGCTTTGCCAACCCTATGCCAGTTCCTGTGCCTCTTCAGCACTTGGCTCTGGCCTGAACTTTCAACTGTGTCTGGAACTTTTGTCAGGTGGCCTCAATCTTGGCTTCCATCGTTTCTTGATTGATCCTTATGTCAGCCTTCACTGTCTTTGCCTTGACCTGCAATGTGAGGCTGAGCTCTTTTGGAAGGTTGTTCCTTGTGTCTACTAGAGTTTCCTGGAGGCTCTTCATCCATGCATTGAGGGACGTCTTTACTGCCTCTAAGTCACCCTGTGTTTCATCAGTCTTCCTGTTCATTTCCTTGCAGAGGTCCCACATCTTTTGGTCGACACACAGCAGGACAACTTCCACCCATTGTTTGATGGTTTCCTTTAACTCGGACCAGATGGAGTGTATTGCAGCCTCCATCTTCTATTGACATGTGTCCATCTTGGCTTTCTTTTATTCTTGAGTGGACACTGTCCTGGCTCGGTGGATATTCATCAAAGAGATGAGAATATCTTGAAGGACCTCAGACTTCTCATTATTGGCATCTATCCTGGCTTCCCTCATTTCTTGATTGGTGCCTGTCTTGGCATTCATCCTTTCTTAGTTTGTTCCCATCTTGGTCAGCTTTTCTTCATTCAAGAGCTTTGGGTAGCTCTCATTTCTTCTTTCAGGTGTTCTTGGTTGGCTCTCAATTCCTGTAGGTTGGCATCCATCATTTCCATGGCAACTACCAGACATTTCTATCATTTGTTCCCTGTTATATAGTTTCTTACCGTGGTGTCTAATCCAACCACTTCTGATACCAGTTGTCACTCTTATGAGTGACTATAGATGGGCTTTGGATTGGTAATTGGATTAATTGAACTCTGGTAGGATGTAACTACAGGTAACTGTAGCACTGTCACTAATTCACACACCCTACAATTCACTACAACACACACTAAGTCTTTTCAGTCTGCTGTGTTTTCACCAGTTGTCTGGTAATAGCTCCCAGCGCTGTAGATCCCTTAACTTCCATGCTCACATCCGTCTGGCCTGTGACTGTCTTACAACTAATTAAACTCTAGACTTGTCCTGCTTGTAACACCTCAGCTTGGAATGCACAGAAAAAATCTCTTCCCTTATTCCTCCAATTTTTAGTGACATCACCACGGACATGACATGCTCCTTTGTTGTGTATGTAGAAGCCATTACCTAGCAATGGGTCTACATGCTACAGTATATATAAATCTAAGATAATTATGCAGTTTACACATTGCAATATGTTTGAGACACTATTTCTGGCCACCATCAGGCAACACTTATACAGTCCCCTCAACTTTCACTATTCCTCTTCCATTGATCAGTGCTTTTCGTTTGAGGTTCATGTATTTGTACACGCTCTTATTTTGACTTGTTAATACTAATATTGTATATTAGCATTATAGTGTGTATAGCATATTTTATTCAGTTTCAGTCTCGCAGTATGGAAGAGAAAGTTGGGATGGACTGCCCGATGATGACAGCCAGAAGTAATGGCTAAAGCACGTTGTAATGTAGAAACCTTATAATTATCTTAGGATTAAACATGTATTGTGAGACTGAAACCGAATAAAATGATCAAATATCTAATTTAAATGACTAAAAAGAGGTAATAAGCCAGTAGTATTTTATGTAAGTTGTAAACTCCAAATATGGAAAATTAATAGCTTGAGTGATCATTATTAATATAAACATGCACAAGCCTGAGTATGAAAACATGATGGGGTTCTCTCTCTCTCCCCCCCCCTCTCCATGAGAGATCATGGAACCCTAAGGTATGGGGGAACTCCAGTTTGTTGAGAATCTAGTAATGTAAAAATGTTCATGTTTGTAATAGTGATCTATACTCATTTGTTTTTGTTTTGTATTATAATAAAAAGTTTCTTCTCATCCAATATGGTTGTCAAGTGATATGTAAGCACGACACAAAGAAAATCAACAGGTTATGGGCCCAGATTTGCTCAAAAACTGAAGGGGGGGGAAGGAGAAGACAAGGAGAACAACGAAAAAATGGCAACCACAGAGACAGAAGAGGCAACTCATCTGCCAAAACTGAAGGACACTGATTCATTTCCACTATGGGATTTTGAAATCAAGATTCTGATGCGTGCAAAAGAAGTGATAAACATCGTTGATGGCAGCGACCTGTTAAGTGACCAAGGAAGAGACGAAGAAAATATAAAGAAATGGAAGATGCAACATGCAAAGTGCCAACACTACATAGTGAGAACGATAGAGAAACACGTGAAGACCCACATTGTGACATCCACAACCGCGAAAGAAACGTACGACACCTTGAAGCAAATTTATCAGCAAGACACCTCTCAACAGAAGTGCCTTCTGCTACAAGACTTCTACAACTTCAAGTATGACAAAACTAAGGATATGATGACAAATATAAGTCATGTGCAGAACATTGCCCTCAAGCTTCGTCAACTGAACCGAAACGTTGATGAAAACATGATCATGACAAAAATAACGATTCTACCAGAAGACTACGAACACTTCAGCACTGCCTGGGACATAACAGCGACCGTGGACAGAACCCTTGACAACCTGGTGGCCAGATTGACGTTGGAAGAAGTGAATTACAAGATGACGACTAAAGAAGAGGAAAGCATAGCTTTTAAGACAGTAACTAAAACCAAAAGTAAAACCCCTTTCAAGTGTTTCAATTGTAATCAAATAGGTCATGCCCAGATAAACTGCCCCAACAAAGGAAAAAGAAATTTTTCTATCTGTAAAAGGAATAATCACTCTGAAAAGGACTGTTACTTTAGAAATAAGGACAGTGATACAAGGAAACAATGTACAGTATGTAAGAAAATGAACCATGCTAAAAAGGACTGTTATTTTAAAGATAGGAATAAAAGAAGCAAGGTCAATTTTCTACCTGAAGCAGCAGAAACCCACTTGAGTGATGCAAGTGAAAAAGACAAAATGTATGTAGTGGATAGTGGTAGCACATGTCATATGACAAATGTGAAGACTGATTTGATACATATTAAGCAGTATACTCAATGTATAAATGTAGCAAAGAAAAATCAAAGGATGACTGCAGAAGAAATAGGCAATTTGGAATTTAAAGAGTGTAGTTTGAAAAACGTTTCATATGTTCCAGAACTCAGCAAAAACCTGCTGTCAGTACACTGTATTACAGAAAATGATGGAGAAGTGTTGTTTACAAAAGAGAAAGTCCAGATACTCAAGGACAAAAATGTTGTATTCGAAGGAAAAAAGGACGAAAATGGATTGTTTGTAATTAACTTTAGCGCGATGAATGAAGCTATGATGACTCAGCAAGATATAAGTGTAGAGTGACAGAAAGCTAGGTCACATAAGTTATGCGAATCTTAGGAAACTACAAGAGATATGCCAAGGGATACCAAAAAGTGTGAGCAACTGTAAAAATTTTGATATATGTTCAGTTTATATGCAGGCCAAACAAGTGAGAGTCCCTTTTGATACAGAAAGAAGTAGGGCTGGAAAGCCATTAGAGATAATTCATAGTGACATGTGTGGACGAATTGATCCCACCACTTATGAAAATAAGAAATATTTCCTTACACTGGCTGGATTGAAGATTTTTGGTTCAGAAATGTACACTAAAATTCTCGGAGCATTGAAAAAGTTGGACAGTCATAGCAAGAAAGGAATATTCATTGGATACAACACAAATGGCTACAGAATATGGGATCCAAATACTGAAAGGACCTATGTTTCCAGAGATGTGACATTCACAAGTAAACCTGTGATGACAAATAAACAAAAGGAAATGGAAAGAGTGACCGATCCAAAAGACAAGCCAAATACTCCAGATCAGGAAGATAGCAAAGTGCAGTAAGAACCCGAAGCTGAAAACAATGAAGAAGAACCAACAGATACTGAAGAGGATGAAGAAAATGAAAATGCTGACCACAAGGATAATGGAAAGAAAAACAATGGACAAAAGGAACATGGATATGCATTGAGACCAAGAAGAAACATTCAAATGCACCCAAAGGACCGAGACTATCACACAGAGAGTCAAAAGGAGGGTATGGTCACCTACACATATGACAGGTGCATGGAGAACAAAGACAGCGAAAAGTGGAAGAAAGCCATTAAAGAGGAAAAGGATTCGCTCTACCAAAACAAAACTTGGATATATGTAAACAGAGAGAAAGCAATGGGCAAGAAAATTCTGACCAATAAATGGGTTTTCAAGATAAAGGATGATGAAAGACACAAAGCCAGACTGGTTGTGAGAGGATGCCAACAAAAGGAAGGGGAAATAGATTTCAAGGATACCTTTAGCCCAGTTGTTGACATGAATTCTCTTAGAGTACTGTTTGCCATAGCAGCATGTAAGAATATGAACATGCAAACCTTTGATGTGAAGACTGCCTTCCTGTATGTAGACCTTGAGGAGGAAAGCTACATGGAGATACAAGAACACTGGCAAGATATGTCTCCTGAAAAAGGCATAATATGGCCTAAGACAAGCACCATCTCAATGGAACAAGAAGTTGACAACCTTTCTAAAAGAAGAAGGTCTAAACCAACTCAAATCTGACCAATGCATTTTTAAGAATGATGCCAATAGTTTGTTCATGGTCAGTCATGTGGATGATGGGATAATCATAGGAGAGGATGAAAGACAAATAGAGGAAATTTTGCTGAAACTGGAAAATCAATTGCAGATAACAAAGGCCACAAATCCAAAAGTTTATTTAGGAACACAAATTGAGAGGCAACCAGATGGGATACATATCTCTCAAACCAACTATGCAAGCCAAATGTTGGAAAAATACAACATGCAAGAAAGTCGAGAAATGAAAACACCCATGGCCACGACCCCACCAACAAATGACAAAGGAGAAAATGACATAAGATTTCCTTACAGAGAGGCTGTAGGAAGCCTGCTATATATGACTTCTCAAACCAGACCCGATATGTCATTCGCTGTAAATGTGGAAAGTCGAACCTTGGAAAATCCTGACAAAATAGCTGCTCAGAATGTGAAAAGGACCCTTAGGTATGTGAAAGGTACACGAGATTCAGGAATAAAATATACCTCATCTGACTCTGAAACTGTGAAACTGGAAGCATTTAGTGATGCTGATTATGCAGGGGATGTAAAGGATAGGAAGATTGTAACGGGATATGTAATTATGATGTCAGGGGGCCCAATATCATGGTGCTCTAGGAAACAGAGTGTTGTTGCATTATCAACCACTGAGGCCGAATATATTGCAGCAGAGTGCTGTAAAGAATTGAAATATCTAAAGACGTTGATAGAGGAGTTGACAGGAAAAAGGGTGGAAGCTGTACTGTGTGTTGACAATCAGAGTTCAATCAAGCTAATAGAATCTGGACAAGTAACGCGTAGGAGTAAGCACATAGACGTTAGGTGTCACTACATAAGTGAACAATTGAAAGAGAAGCTGTTCTCAGTCAAATATTGTAACACTGAAACTCAGGTGGCAGACATTTTAACAAAACCGCTATCACCAGAGAAATTTACCAAGTTTAGAGACATTATACTTAAGAAGAAATAAGTCTGATTTTGATAAGATTGATAAAATTTTAATTACATGTACTAATTTTGTAATCTGAAGACCTAAATTACTAAGTGTTATTCAATTTAACTTTGTAAAACAGCTAATAATGTTGACAACATTTTGAAATTAAGGAGGAATGTTGAGAATCTAGTAATGTAAAAATGGTCATGTTGGTAATAGTGATCTATACTCATTTGTTTTTGTTTTGTATTATAATAAAAAGTTTCTTCTTATCCAATATGGCTGTCAAGTGATATGTAAGCACGACACAAAGAAAATCAACACAGTTGAGAAAGGCTCCTGTAGACAATACTTGTTTTTTTTTTTTTCCAGTGAGTTCATATTTGGGTCGGTTCAAGGCAAGGTGGGTGAATTTGTTCTGGTGTCAAATGCAGATGCAGTTGACCCAGACACACCGGAAGGATGTGATGTAGCTGAGATCATTAAACTGTTTGAAACAGGTAAAATTAATTTAGTTATGGAGTGCTCTGTGTGTTTTATAATTGTCCTTGTTTCAGTTTCCCTTATGATCATATATGTTATTTAAGGTTGCCACCTCCCTGGTTATGTGCCATAGTCTCTGGAAATTGAGTTCGGTCTTTGGAGTTAGGTTGGTCTTGACAGAATTGGGGAAAATCTGGGTATTTTCATGCTTGTTGTGTTTGTTGACTGATGACATACTTAGGCTTTATGTGTTTCTGGTATAGTGGAATGATTACATTGGTTAAAAATTGTATTGAAATTAATTCTCTCTTCTGGCATGAATGCTTTCTTTCAAGTGCTAACATACAGCAACAGAAGGCATGTAAAAATCCTGATGTAAATAATATTGTATTTTAGAATTATACTGTGTGAGCTGTTTATTGGAGTAATGAGTTAATGTAAAACGACTTCTGATGATGGCCTGAATGGCCAAAACATGTTAAGTGAAAACAGTATAAGTTTATCCAATTTGTACAGGATTGTGTTGACAGAACATATAATAAATAGTTTTGGTGTTAATGTTTAAACAGAATCTGTAAACACAGTAGATGTAAAAGTTGCCCCTGTGCTTAACAAATTAAGCACTGTGCCATGAAGGCATGCTACATTTTCTTGACCTCGGCATTAGCTGGTGATGAGTGGTCAGCTTCATGCCCTGGCCTCTTTACCCCCAGGGAAAGAGATCCTGGTACCTATTGGAAAGGAGGTTGGGCAGACCTCAGCTCTTCTGGATGATGTGGAGAAGAGAAAATTCTTGACGCTACTGTACCTTGAACTCTGACCCCTCAGTTGTTGAGCCCATAGCTAGTTGCTATACTGACTATGCTATCCTGTCTCCTGTAAGTAGGTGTACAGTTTAAAATTGACTATTCCATGTCATGTATGTATTATTGTAGAAGACAATGAAGACCCATATCGAGCAATAGTCAGGTGGTATTCTCGACCACATGATGTACCCAAAAGAACCATCAGATCATTACAGCTGGACAAAAAGCTGGAAGTTATACTAGATGAGAGACCATTTGATAATGATATCAGCATTGAAACATTTTTCAGCAGCTGTGTGGTAAGTTGTTTGGTAGTTGTCCATTTGAACTAACTTTCATTTCTATCCACTCTTTCTCACTTCAAATATTTATTTATATTTGTATGTGGCTACTGTCTGCAATGATATGATCATGGTAAATCTAATATCAACATTATATAATCTGGGTAGTTGTGATGGCAGTGTTAAATAAACCAAGAAAGCATGGAACAGCAGCAGCAGTAGCATCATCATTACTGTTGTCATTATTAGTAATGTTAAGAGTAAATTAAGTTTACTACTACTTTTCCTACTATGTTAATAAAATTTTACATGCAGCAGACTACCTGTAGTCCTCAGTTGTTGCCCCAGAGCTGAATTTTTTTCAATGTAGGAGGTTGATGTCCATATTGCATTCTAAAATAATGCTGGACAGCTGTAAGAGATTGCAACTCTGCTAGCCAGAACACGCATTGAACCTGTTCCTGTGGTGTCGACATTGTTACTGAACTTACCGAAGGTCACCGTCTGGGCTCATGCACATAAGCCAGACATGAAAGAACTTTCAGAGTTTTCCTTTCTGATGACACAAACCAGATACATGTGTGACAATTAGTTTCTGAAATATAAATTTTTTATTTTGGATTCCTTTCATCTGGACACTCTGTATTTAATAGCAAGAGTTTTAGTAGGCTTATGTCTCTGTAGTTAGAGCAGTCTGTTTTGTTGCCTTGTTTAAATATTGGGAATACAACTACTTCTTTCCACTCATCAGCTGTAAAACCAGACTTCCAACACATTTAAAAATTTTAAAATTATTGAAAGAAAGAATAATGTTACTTTTTTATATATTTTTTATTTATATCATCTGGACCTGTAGCTTTCTTGTTTTTGAAACTTTGTAATGTAAATGATCCATCGAAGGTAATGGGATATATATATATGAGGGTTGTTTTCTACTAATATTGTTACTTGTTTACTTGTCTGTAATTGTTCTGATATTGCTCACATTCGAGTAGAGATATTGGATTCAGTCATACTTTGTTCTTTTCTATTTTGTTTAGTTTCTTGATTATTTTATATGCCTTATCTCGACAGTCCATGCAAATCATATTCCAAATCAGCTACATATAATTTCCAGTATTGTCTGTGATTATTTTCTAACTTCTCTTTTGACTGTTTCCAATTTTAATTTATGTTGGGCTCAGTCTTTTGCAGGTTTACAATTCAGGAATCTGATTATTTACATTTTTTATATTTCTCCTTACATGTGTGTTTCATTATGTTCTTTTCATGATTGTTTTAGGTATTAGGAGCTAAGATCGATGACGATCCAGTTACTGAAGCGAAGAAGCTTGAGGGACATGTGTCTGTACCAGTGTTTGTTTGTCGCTACAAACTTGTGGGCTCAGCCTACTCAGCAAAGATAGAGCCATACCTAGATGTTAGTGAAAATGCAGTGAATAAGTCTAGTCTTAAGTCTGCATTTCGAGCATCCAGTAGAGATTCTTCATCAGGGAACAATGTTGCCAAGCAAAACAAATCAAATCAACCACTGTCATCAAAGGTAGATGGCATAATGAAGCTATGTTTAAAAACTAGTTTTCCCTTGGATGTTGATACAGAAGATAATGTTTTGGAAGCAAATAGAGAAAAACGAAGAAAGGAATGTGATAGAGAAATTAATGAGCTGAAATCAAATTTGTCACCTGTAAAGAGGAGTTTCAGAAATGATTTCGCTCCACCAATAGAATCCAGTCATATTAATCACATTACAACAAAAGCAAGTGAAGCTCTACTTGGGCGTACAAGTTACGTTCTTGTCAAGAAGCTAAATTTAGAAGAGGTAATACATAAGAAAAATGTTGAAGATGGAAATCGATCTATTTCGCCACCTGTACCACTGACTGGTAAGGGAAGTTCACTGTTCATTTCAAGTTTTTTTTTATTAACAAATATTTTGCTATAAATGATCCAAAACTTAAAGGTAGAGTCTTAGCTGACTGTATGAGAGGAATACATTCATAATGTTTCATTTATTTCTTATCAGAAAGTTGGTTGACATTGTTTTGACCTGTCATTTTGAAATTCACACTTTGTTTGGGTCTCAGAGACTAGACTTTTCATTGGAGAAGAGTTTGTTGCTTTTAGGGGTGGGAGGTTGGGGTTGGGCTAGAGGATAGAAGTCTTACCACGAGCCCCCCCCCCAAATTAGGTTCAAGAAACTGTCATGCTGAAAGGTCTGGGAGAATTTCTTTTATCACTTTCTACTTACTGCTGAGACATTTTGGGTATCATTTTTCATAAATTTTTGTTATGTTTAGGTTTTTCGTCAGAATCAGTCCCGTGATTCCTTCTGATATTTTCTGAACGGTTAATTATATTTCATCATTTTAGTCACTTTTCCCACATCGTTGAAATTGCTGAACAGTTCTTTTATCTGTAACATCTTCCCTTCTGGCTTGAAATTGCATAACCCATGCAGATCTTTTGTGTTCTGCACCTTGAACCCACTCCATAAATTTGCTGTAATGTTTTGTAAATATCAGTGGTCAGGCCAGGATTACAATGTTACATTGTATCTGTGAGTGACTTGTAAAATGAGCAGTTACTTGCTCAGGTGAAGAAAGATATGCTGTTTTACAAATGAAATGGATAACTCTGTGCATTCTAAGTCATGTAAAATGTAAACCAGATGGAGCATTCATGTTTATAAGTTATAATGGCTAATTTAAAAAAAGACAGTTTTTTATATGAATGCGAAGAACATCTTTTAAAGTGTCATGGTTGAGTGATTTGAGTGATTAGCATCCTTGTTTTGTATTTGGGAGGTCTTAGGTTCAATCTTGGCCTGGATACTAGCTATTGTGATTGAGATTTTCATGGTTTTCCTCACTACCTTCAGGCAGATTCTGCAGTAGTACCCAAACTTATGTCATGACTGCTTCCTTCCAGATCATTTCCAATTTAGTAATCCTAGCATTTGATTCTGTATAGTTCAAGCTACTGACACCATTAAGTGAACCATAAGTAAAATAATAAAAAATACTGTGATACGTGATTCTTTCTCTCACACATCTATATAATGCAGAATTTTTGTTTCATTAATACTTAATAGATACATCACAAGAACAATTTGAATTAAGTAACAGTGGAGCAGAGTTAATAGTAGCTCAGAACTGAAGAGTTTATTACCATGTTCACAAGACATGTTCTGTGGAATTAGTTATTTTATGATGAATTGTTAAACCCCACCCAATCTTACAGCTGGAGGAACTCTCTCCTTGGCTTTCCACAGCTGCTTACTCTGTATATTGATAACTGCCCTCCCTATTTGGAGGCTATCTCCCCGTCCAAAACCTGAGCATGTACCATGCTGTGGTGACAAAGCATTCACTTAACATGGCAGAGTGGATTAAAAATTGAACTTGTGCTAAACTGGATATGTAGGAGAATTGTAAAAGTCTTCCCATGTTTGATAGTGTGGCTATTAATATCTGTCAGTAGTGTAACTAATATGTTTAACCACATTGTAAGATACATAGGTTGTACCGAAAGTCATGAGCAACTTTTTTTTGTATGCAACCTGGGAACAGCAGATGAAAGAGAGTATGATGGTAGATGGAACCAGCTGTTGTGTTAACCTTGAGTGTCTTGTGATGTCAATAGCTTGCATCACGTGACCAGTATCACTCCTAACAAAATGGCCGATAACCATATGTTGTTTAACCAGCGTGCTGTCATCGAATTTCTTATGAAAGAGGAAATCCCTGTTACAGAAATTAACCAGAGACTTCAGCATGCTTATGGAAGTTTGTGCATGGGTGCAAGCAGTGTTCGAAGATGGGAACACCAGCATCGAAGATGAGCCTCGGAGTGGTCATCCTCGAACAGCCTCAACTGAACGCAATAAGGAAAGAGTGGATGAGATCATTCAAGATGACAGGCGTGTGACTGTGGACACAATAGCCCGAAAACTTGGAATAGGGCACAGTGCAGTACAGGAGATGATTGAAAGCTTGGGCTATAGGAAAGTTTGTGCTCGTTGGGTCCTGCGGTTATTGACTGAAGACCACAAAGGTCAGTGAAAAGCCATCACCTCAGAACTGCTGCAGAGATATCGACATGAAGACGATTTTTTTCTCTGTATTGTGACAGGTGACGAAAGCTGGTTTCACCATTTCGAGCCTGAAACGAAACGGCAGAGTATGGAATGGCACCATTTGCATTCTCCATCAAAAAAGAAGGCAAAGACAGTGCCATCACCTGCAAAGGTGATGGGCACAGTCTTCTGGGATGCAGAGGGGTTTATTCTTGCCGAATTCCTGGAACCTGGGCAAACCATCAATGCTGCTCGTTATGTCCAGACGCTGCACAAGCTCTGTCATGCATTGCGCAATAAACGTCCAGGATGAAACATCATCATCCTGCATGACAACGCTCGCCCCTGCGCCGCTCTACTCACATTGGAAGCAATTGCAAAGATGGGGTGGGAAGTTCTTCCACACCCCTCCTATAGCCCTAATCTGGCACCCTCTGACTACCATCTTTTCGGATTTGTGAAGGATCAGTTGCGTGGACAACGTTTTGAGACAAGGGAGGCAATTCAGAAAGCACTACATCACTGTCTTCAGATGGCTGGAATGGAATTATACAGAAGGGGAATTTTCAAACTCCCAGAATGCTGGGAGAAACGTGTACAAAGAAGTGGCGATTATGGGGAAAAATAAAGAAAGGTCTGTAGATTGAAGTGGTGAATTTGGTTTGTCAATAATAAAACATGTTACGTTACAAAAAATTGTTGCTCATGACTTTCAGTACGACCCTCATATATCATCTGCTGTAGTAAGGTTTTGTGTTCTCACTTTCAGAGCCAAGCATGAGGTGGTATGGAATGAAGGATGACAGAAATCGTCTTGTGACACTGAAGATACCCATCAGTGCATGTGATTCAGCCAGGAAGCCATTGAAAAGCATTGGACATGAAAATACACAACCATCTATCAAGAATACAAGCTTGAAAGATACTGAAGTTCTGACATTGGATACTGAAGATGAAACAGAGAGTATTGATGAGTTTGGCAGGAATGTACCTGTGAGGTATGATGAAAAGAAGCAGATGAGTAATGAAAAGTCAGGAAAATCAAATAAATGCAGAACATTAGCAGAAGAAGAGATTTTTAAAACAAGAAGTTTAACCCATAAAACAAAATTAAAAGACAAAGATATTTCCCAATTATTGGATGATGATAATTCTAATGATGTAATTTTCATTCATAAGAATGTAACTGATAAACCCATATCTGACCAGAATTCTCATCAGAAAGTTTGTGAAGCATCTAAAAATACTATTTTGCAAGGGAAGAAGACGTTTGAAACCAATACTACTATTGTTGAAACCAAGCAGATGCAGACAAGTAATATCAATAAAGATGAAAAGAAATTAAAGATGAAGGCAGTAAAAGATGTATCTGATAAATCAAACTCTGAGAGTGAGGATTTTGGTTTAGTATCATCATCAGCTTCTTCCTCCAAGACTGTCCTACGGAAGAAACAACATCCAGGTCAGTGGTCAGGAAATAGTGAAGGCTGTACAAGATTGAAGACAGTATGTGAAAGGCCTGTGCATATTCCATTGGCGGCATCTCTTCTCGAAGACTCTGTGAATACGTGTGTTTCAGCTTCACTTTCCACACCAGGAAGTGCATCATTGGTGGCTGTGAGGCACGTAGATGATAAGGTAGTTAAAAGTTCAAACTCAGAATCTTGCACAGGTAAATCAAAATACCTTTATCATACTTCTGTGAAAAAGAAACTTTCTTATGAAGACAGTGGGACAAACAGAAAATTGCCGTGTGGGGAGAGCCAAGACAGATGTATTGTTACTGAGGCAAGGACTGTGAGACAAGGGAAGGTTACAAATAGAAGAGCAGAACTTTCCACTCCCAAAGTGGGTTGTACAGGTAACAGCATTAATGGTCTGGAACCTATTCATAAATCAAAGGTTATTGACAACTATTTGGAATCCATGAAGAATTCTAAGCCTTTGAATAGGTGTCAGGATCATCAACAAAATAATGTAAGTAGTAAAAATTACTATTGCTCTTCAATTCTTACATCTTATTGGCAAATGACAGTGTTAAGTAATCTACCAAATTTACCATTGGAGTCCAATGTTAAAGTAATCAAATGGCATAGAACTTATTGCCAGATACTGTATAGCATGCTGTATATGATTAATTTCAAAACTGCTCAAATCCAGGCATTTTGGATAATGATAAAAATCACAATCTTTGATTAAAGTTACATTAATGTACTGCATTTTGAACCTGAAATTTATTTTATTGGAAAATTTTGTTATGATAGGCCCCAGTGAATGCCAGAAAAGGTTTTTCCAAATGAAACACTTAAAGATTGTTGGTTTCTTTTCTGAAATTCTTATTTGTTTCCTTTTCCCTTTTACTTAATTTGTCCACCTGTATGTAATACTGTAAATATTACTATGGCACATAAGGATGCCATTTTGTTTTATGCATTCTTTGTGTAACATGAATGTATAGTGGGGAAATTCGTTTTGTCCTGGTCCATATTGGCAAATACCAGAGTAGTGTCTCCATTAGGCCATGGCCACCTCCATCCAAATCCATCCCAATTCATTGTCCACAGTCATCCTACCATTTGATGCTGTGTAGTGTCATAGTGACACCATCACAAAGCAAACCACAAAGAAGAGAATGGTAAGGTCATACCAGATCATGTGTTTTATTTCTGTAAAGGCCCTGTGGATATGTGTGAAATTGGCAATGGAGGTCTTTGCCACAAGTTGATTGGCAATTCAAATTTTGGTACATGTCAGCCTGTTCTAACCTGTCCTTTACACACATTCAATTCAACTTTATCACTTTTCTCAAAAAGAGCTCGTAGTATGCAACATTGGTGCATAATATAAAGTTTATACCCATTGAAGTCTCTAACTTTATTATTTTGATAGGGTGTACATTTTGAATGGTGGGATGTGTGTTCCTGTGCATTTGTTGATTGGCAAAACAGTATTTGAAAATCAAAACCATTGAGAAATGCGAAGTCAAGAACAAAAAAAAATACACATGTTTACTCTAAATTAGAACATGTCTTTAACTCTTACTGCTCAGTTTGTGTAACAGTATGACTCAGAACCCTTTAGAGTCTGCTAGTATTACTCTACTTTTAGAGTTAGTTCATGTATTGAGATGAATATGTGTAGTGATTTTGGAAATGTTCATTAGGAGGGAAAAATTCATCAGAAAGATTGAAGGAAATGGCACAGAATTTGCCTTGTAATTGAATGTAAGCTTTTGAATCCGAGTCACTAGAATTGTGTTCTTTGATAACATTTCTCTTCCAGGAGGATCACTGGGTTTCTGTCCCAGAAGATGATAATCAAGGCAGTGCTTCTAGTTGCAGATCATCATTACGGCTGAAAATATGTAGAACCAGCAGACATACAAACCATGATATTCATCAGGTGGTAGCTTCTGCCAATTATTTTTAATTTAAAGGCTTATTAGAAAACCTCTATTTATCTTTACTGTTTGCATCCTCTTGTGTGTCATGATTAGTGATACTCTGCCCATCAACACAACAAATATTTCAAAATAAACCAATGTAATTGTTTACATTGATTCTATTTAATAACTGCTAGTTGTTTCAGTCCATATATTGGACCATCCTCAGGCAGTTTCATTAAATACGTCAACATAATCCACACTGAAACCAGGAACAGGAACAACACAAAAACAAATGTCCACAAGCTCAATCACGTCACATTAAAGAAGGCAAGAAGAAACGCACATAAAAACTAGAGAACTAATAACAACATTGTACATGAATAGTACCAAAAACATAAAAACTCATTCATGACATCATATTCAAGAAGGCTAAGAAACATAAAAAACTAATAATAACATTATGTGTGAATAGTACTAAAAACATTTATGGGGCTACACGGTAGTGTAGTTGGTTGAGGCACTATGCTACGAGTCGGAAGGTTGTGGGTTCAAGTCCCGATGAGGTCATTGGATATTTTTCAGTTGACCTAATCCTTCCAGCTGCACTGTGGCCCTGGGATCGACTCAGCCTGTAACAAAAATGAGTTCCAGGAATTAATTAAATAATTTTCCTGGGGAGTAGAGCGCAGCCGGTGCGTAAGGCTGACAACCTTACTGCCATCTTTGATCCGGTTGTCTAGATAATGTGGGACCCTCACCATCTCACAACCCTATAGGCCTTCGTGGCCTGTTACAGGGATAGCTTAATTTTTTTTTTACCAAAACATAGAATATAACAGTGAACCCTGGAAGACACCACCTACAATGCACAACAAAAAACAGAATTATACATTGTAATGATGAGAAAATTTTTAAAAATTTAAAAGTATTTTTACAGTTTTAGTGGGGGTACGAAGTAGCATAGTGGTTGAGGTGCTACACTACAAGCTGGAAGGTCGTGGGTTCAAATCCCGATGAGGTCATCGGATTTTTTTCAGTTGACCTAATCCTTCCAGCCGCACTAGGCCCTGGGGTTTACTCAGCCTCTAACAGAAATGAGTACCAGGAATTAATTAAATAATTTTCCTGGGGAGTAAAGCGCGGCCGGCCTGACGACCTTGCCGCCATCTTTGAACCGATTGTCTAGATGTGGGACCCTCAACGTCTCACAACCCTCTCGGCCTTCACGGCCTGTTACAGGGATAGCTTTACTATTTTACAGTTTTAGGAATAATTGCATATATTATGATGATTATAGTGATTGACACTAATGTGGATTCATGTTAGTATATTTCAGTAATGTGAGAAATATTTAATGAAACTGCCTGAGGATGATCCAAAATATGGACCAAAACATGAAGTAGTTATTAAATAAAAACAATTAAATTTGTTGATTTTGAAATATTTGTTGTGTTGATGGCCAGAGTTTCCTATGTTTTTCGGCAGGGAAATTAGAGATTCCCAGAGAAGGCTGTTGAGCTTAAACTTCCTTACTGAGTGCTGTCAAGTGCCAGGTTGGAGATGAACCTGAATTTAGAATTTTGGGTGTAATAACATGCTAGGTAATTGTGCATGTTGTGCTTCTAAAATGTGTAGGTCAGTTACTGTGGAGCACTGTTGGAATGAGGATTGTAGGAGGAATTGAAGTGTTTCTGAAAACTGCTCCAGTCCAACTTTGCTTTTGCAAATCGCAATATACACAGCCCTAAGCTTCAACTTGATCCTCAGGCAAAAAGTCAGTGTCTAACTTCTTGAGTATTTCTTGTAACTTCTGTTTGCTAAACTTGAATGATAACTATGAAAACTTTGAATTGTTCCAGGTCACATGTTAATTCCCTTATTTTGTAAATTTTCTTTTGGTCTGTGTTATGTGTATACAGTTTATATATTTGTATACTGGCACAAACTTATCATTTATCTTATTTGCAGTTCATGTAATTTATAGTGGCTAATAAATTTTGGCTGCACTGAAAATTCAGTTGACTCTACTTTTACAGTCTTGGCTCTTAGATGGCTGTGTTCACTCCACATCAGAGAGGGTCAGTAGCTGAAAGACCATGGAGGTAGCACTACCATTTAAGTGTAATACTCAGAGGCTTCAATTCCAAGTGTCGCCACTAATCTTGGGGAGGGGAAAGTATGTCAGTGTAAAGACAAATCACCTGAAGACTGGAATAGAGTGAATTCCCAAAAGTGAATTTATTGTCATGTGTTAAAGAGTGGTTTGGATTGGTACCAGCTTCTAACAGCACCAGCTCACAAAGGCTGATCTGTACCAGTCTTCTAACTCACCATCCAACTCCATTCTACTCTACTCAACTGTGCTGCACTCACTAACTGAACTGAACTTGTTTGATCGAGTCATATAGCCTTTGGAGCAGACCCACAGACAATGTCACTTGCAACATCTTTTCTGTTGTTGTATGATGTCACCGCAGACGTGACATGTTCCTCTGTTGTGTGTATGGGTCACTACCTGACAGGGTCTACATGCTACAGTATACCACCACAGCCAGTAATTTCATTGTCTGTGGTTTTGTCCCACCATATTACAAGATACTCATACACTTACGCATATCCACATCCATCCTCAGAGTATTCGTTGTTGGCCACTATGCAAGTCTGGCAACATTGGTACAGCTGCTTGGAAACACTGCTGAAAGATATTTGCAGGAAGGTCCCATACAGCTTCCCTTGTGGTTGTGACGATCTCCTTGGCTGACTGAAACTGATGCCCACATAGCTTTTCTTTCAAGTGAGCAAATTCAAAGAAATTGCATAGTGCGAGATCAGGTGAGTATGAAGGTTGTGGCAAAACGGTGACCTGTTGTTTTGTCAGCTCCTCTTAGAGAAGCACAGAGTGAGGTGCAGGTGCATTGTTGTGTAGCAACAGCCAGTTCTTCCTGTGCCAAAGCTCAGGACGCTTACGACAAATTGAATTGCATAGATGACAAAGGATCTCCTTGTAGTGATGCTTGCTTACAGTCGCTCCTTCTGGGATGAATTCCATGTGAGGAATTCCAGATGAGTCAGAAAACAGTTCAAGCATTACCTTGCCTTTTGACCTGTCCTGTCTCAGTTTCTTCTTTCTTAGTGATGATGGTGATTTCCAGGTGGCCAATTGTCAATTCATTTGTGGATCATAAGGAAAACACCATGTTTCATCTCCTGATATCCAGTTGAGAAACGTCTCATCTTTATCAGCATTGTAAATCAGGTCACCACCAATGCACATGTGATCATCACGTTGGTCTTGCATCAGGATGCATGGAATACTGTGCTGGGTAGCATGAGATTATGTTCAGGTTATCAGGCAGACTTTTGTGGCAAGTACCAACGTGAACCCCTGCTGCTGCGATTTTATCTACCATTTGGGAGGAGTTGGCATGCATCAGTGTTGCAACTTCTTGGATCTTGAGTTCATTTCTGACCATTCTTGGCTGACTGGCATGCTCACCATCTTCCACACTGTCTCTCCTCTGTGCAAAAGTTTGTGTCACTTAGACAGCACTATGGCCCAAGGCTTCTTTGCTGTACACTTGCTTGATCATCTGAAAAGTTTTGCTATGGATTTGCCTAATTTTTGGCAGAACTTTACATTTTTCTGTTGCTGAAACTGCAACATTCTTGATTTCCTCCCCTTGCAGACAACTACCCTTCATAACAGTGACTTTCTGAATACACTGCATGCACGCATTTGCTTCATGCTGGAATGAGAGAAGAATGGGCATGGCACCATCTCATTGCTCCAAATATTTAGTGCATAACAGCGCCACTATGTGGCCAAGCCACAAAATTATTAACTGTACTACGTATTATCTATAATAACTATGTATTATTTTTTTATTGCTAGTGAGGTGGGACTAAGTCCCTTGTACTGCAGCCACTTCTGGCCTATTGTACCTGCCCCAGATGATAGGTGAGGGTGATTGTGGAGCAATTTGTGGAATGAAGATTGGCAGGGGAAACCGAAGTGCTCGGAGAAAACCTGTCCCAGCCCCACTTTGCCCACCACAAATCCCACTTGACCATACCTGTGATCGAACCCGGGCTGCCGCTTGAGCTATGGCGTGGCCCAATAACTATGTCAGTATATATTAACCTAAGAGATCAGACAGTGTCCAGTATAATTGTAACATACCAAGAATTATCACAGACATTCTGAGTGTCAGACTCTGAATTATTGGGTTTTCTTTCTGGTTTTAGGATACTACTCCCAGAAGGCGCAAGAGGCACATTCTCAGTGACAGTGCCAGTGATGACAGTGAGTATGAGCCAGGCAGTGCATTGAGATCAAAGCATTACAGAGCTCATGAGCCTTCTACACGAGAGTCTTTGAAGGTTAATGAGAAAGCATCACCTTGTACACGATCTTCTTCTCGAAAACGTAAACCAAATACTTGGTATGACTCTAATTGGGCAACACCTGACTCAACTCCTGTCTCTTCATTGAAAAAGCAAGTTACAAATTGGACTCCTGTCACTTCTAAAACTCCAAAGTTAGAAGTTACACCGCAGGCATCCACTACCCCAGTTCCTAAGAAGGTATGTGGTTTACTGAATGTGTCGGAATGCTAAGAGTATCAGTCATTCAATTGTTTTTAATGCCTCAGAGCCATGCAACATATACATTGTATCAGATCCATATGTCCACTGTTTTCATGTCACATACTCTGTTGGTACTTTGGCCATTCTTCGCTTGACTACTACATTTGCTTAAGTATAGGGACATTTTTAAAACTGTTAACGAGTTTATGGCTGTGCAGTTCACTGTGACCCGTGCATTGCCGGCAGCGAAGTGTATGCAAATTTTGCCGATGACTCAGCATGCTGATAACGTTTGGAATGAAGGAAAATAATTAACTTCTTGACTTCTACACGTGTAGGGTGGTATGTGTGACAAAAATAATGGGTCTAGTTTGGATGATTGGATTTCTTAGCACCTTGGTTACAAGTTCTCTTAATCTCTCTGTTTCAATCTATGACATTAAAGTCATGGCACTAATCTAATTGTCATGACAAAAATGTTGTCACAACATTAATTTACATCATGACATTCCAATTTTAAATTTTAATAGTGACATATTGGCATTCAATTTCATGGCACAAGAAAACAAGACTTCAGTCTGTCTAGGTTTAATATATACTCTGTTTTCTCTTGTTTTCTCTTCATTATTGTAAACAATTTCAAAGAAGTTAATCCATCTTGCCTTCCGGTTTCATTTTTGGATAAGCTGCTGACACTTCAAACAGATGAATTATTTCAAGTTTCATATTCTAGTCCAAGCTTGCCCATAACATTACCATAATTAGAGGCTTTCAGGTGCTGCTGTCAGTGTCAACTGAAATGCGTTCGTTATGTGATGAGGGTTAAACCTTAAGCATACACATGCATAGTTATATTCTGTTGACATCACTGTCTGAAGCCAGTGGAAGATCAGGGTAAGGGGAAACCTGTCTACAAAGAGGCCAAGACTGCATGGTGCCCCCATAAACAAGCCAGGCAACAGAATAAGCAGTGAAACAAGGTGCTGGACTGATGAGGAAATTAGGAGATATCTCATGATGTACATTTCTCAGTAGTTAAATCTTGGCAGGGATCAGTTGCTCTCAGATTTTGGAATGAGAATTTTCTGCTAGAAAGGGGTGGGGCAGAGAGGGTGGTTTAAGGGGACCCTTTATGGGCTACTAGCCATAAATAACTTTGGAAGCAAAACTGTGGGTTCTCATTTCTTTATTCCTAAGGTTATCTCTTCAGAATTTTGCAAGTATACCAGTCAGAATGAGGTAAAGAGATGTAAGCTGTCCCTTTGCTTAATAAGACTCCATGAGTGGAGGCATAGCTCCATATATTCTTAAATTTTTCACTAAACGGAAGTGACTGGTCTGTCCCATGTTTTAGCCACTTTACCCTTGAAGAAAGCTTCCAGTACCCGCTGGATAGGAGGTTGGTTGGGCCCTAAAGCTGGTCTTGACACAGAAAAAGAGACAGATTTGCCCCTGCTAAGAATCAAAGCCTGATTGCTTGGTCGTCCAGCTTGTAGCCTAGTCACTATGATGGAAGCATTCAGGGAGAGTAAACACCAAAATGGAGAAGAAAATTGCCTTGACTTTCATATTACATCTTAACCAATATTAATTTTACAGGAAGAATACATTGTCTAGGTTCAGTTCACATTTGCATGTCATATACAAGTTGCTTATCTTAATGTGCAAAATATGGATGAAACAGTAAAACCAGCTTTTATTATGCTTCAGATACAAAATAAATTTTGTTCTTTCTGTACTGTTTATTTGTGTGTCAATCTTATTTAATGAAGTTGATGAAAATTTGTGTTATGCTGTCCAACTTGGTTTCTTCTAGGCATAATTTTCATCTAGCTTTACATTGGGATATGTTATTTCATAACAGGGATCTGCGCAGCGTGCATTGCTGACACCATCCATTCCAACTCGTGCCAGTCCCATTTCAACTCCTGGTAGTGTTTTGGAGGAGGCACGTGCTAGGTTGCATGTTGCTGCAGTGCCTAAATCCCTTCCATGCCGTGAAAAAGAGTTTAACAACATCTATCACTTCGTTGAGGGCAAGATTCTTGATGGGACAGGAGGGTGAGTTTAATTAGATAATATGCATCTTAAGTGACTGAATTCAGTTTGCAGAAATGCAACTGAATTGACCCTTTGATTTTGAAGGTTTCATGCTCTCTGTGGACCCTAGAATGAGTGTTTTAAGCTTCGGTTTTTGCTAGAAGAAAATTTGCCCCACATTGCTGAGTTGTGCAGTTAAATACCCTGTTTGTATGTGATTACTTCCCATGATTCCCAGCCAGTGTCACAGTTCCATCCACATAGTTGCCTGTAGATGTCATGCTAATTCACTTGTTTATGCATATTGTCACGATTTAGATGTGTGACTATAGACAGGGTATGGATTGGTGAATGGATATTGATTGATTGATCAGTAATCTGTCAGATGACAGGTCCACAGTCTCTTCCAAAACAGTTCCTCCACTTAATGTGATCTTCTGTTTTTGGAAAGAGACTATCCAGGAAATGTGATAATGTGGTAGTTTTTCCATTTGCTTTCCACATCGCAGTACAACAGCCGTTCAAACCACTCTGGTCACGCCTGTTGCTATACGAACTTGAACCATCTCGAGCATCATTTGTTCTGTGCTTCAAGTCGCTGCTGATGACGCTGCTTCCGGCATCAGTTTTTGGTTTTTGGTGTCTCTCTTCGTCTGATGCCTACCCTTTGACCTGTCCAGCAAGGGAGGCCCTGCCAGTAGCTACGTTACCGCTGGTATAGCTCTCAGGGTCCTTGGCATACTCAAACCCCCTCACCACGATAAGGTGGAGACACCAACGAGGGGGAATGGATATATTGACCACTTATACACACCACCCACAATTACTATTAATACAAGTAATTACAGAGCTATCGCTATATCCACATTTTACAAACCACTAGCACATGCTAAGTCTTCTCACTCTTCACTAGACTCTTCCTGGAAATGGCTTCTAACAGTGGAGGTTCTTCAGCTTCCTGTACTCAGGTCCTCTTGTCACAGCTGCCCATGCAGAACTCTTGTCAACTGTCAACTCCACTATAGCACTATCTCTTCTCAGCCTCCTTTGAAGAGCTGAGCTTAACTGCCAGCCCTCAACTAACTAGGTTCCAGGCTGGCAGCCAATTCATACCAACCTCCTAGTCTTTGCTTCACAGGTGGGCTTGCAACTGACAACTGAACTGGATTGCCCCAATTGTCTTCTTCTTAACTCCTTGGCATGGATCACATAGAAAAGATCCCCATTTCCATTGTAACTGTGCTGTTGTGTGTGTCTTGTTTCTGCGGTAATGTGTTAGTAAACACGTTGCTCAGAAACAGATGTTTGTTCATTCATCTGTTGCATATCAATGACTGTACTCATTTGTTTTGAGGTCTTTGACTAGCAGTGGGTCTGTGTGCCACAATATTGATGTTAATTTACTGAAAAATGTTTATTTTTCTGACCAGGTGACTGAAATGCTAATGATTTAAAAGGAAATGGATGTTAAAGAGAACACGGTAAGCAGTAATTTGGTGTATCTAGATGAATATTTGTTACCCATTGATTCTTGCCTCAGGCTCAGAAACTCATCAGTGGATTTCAGATTGCTTGCAAGAATATGCAAGCTTCAGAAGGAATCACTTCAAGAGTGTGTGTTAGATTTAAATATTATGTTCCAGATGCATGTACATAAGTGGTGTGCCTGGGACTGGGAAAACAGCCACAGTACAGGAAGTTGTTCGTAGTTTGCAGGAGGCTGTGTCACAAAGGAACATTCCAGATTTTCAGGTAGATTGAATGGTTTTTCAAACTAAAATAAGAGGCAAAGAATGTACTGATATATTGTTATGTTTTCTTTGTTTCTTTTTACAGAATGTTATATATAGGGTCTGGCAGGGAAACGTGATGGATTCTAAATTAGTACAATGTATGCCATTTTTGTGTATAATTGCGAGCTCATTTTGTCTTGGAAAATCATGCCGTCCAGATGCTTACCATCTCTTTGTACACATTCTTGCAACCTCGTCTTGAAGTTGGTCATTGAGCATCTTACCATGTCCGCGGGGGGAGGGAGGTAATGCCGTAATTCCATCTTCAATTGCAGCTTTCAGTTCAAGAACTCTACATGGTCTGTTGATGAATACCTTCACTTTGAGGTAACTCCAAAGGAAATAATTGCTTACATTTTAAGTCAGGTGACGGAGCAGGCTAGGGAAGCTCTCACAGTATGGGTGGTGGTCCCATCTTGTTGCAGCCACATGGTTTGTTGATTACGTCCACATCTGCTAATTTATGGTGCAAGGAAATTATGCAGCATGTGAACATAGCGACCAGAGTTTACTGTCATAGCAAGTTCGTCCTCCTCAAAGAAATATGGGCCTATCATAACAAAGCTTCCCACACAGCACCAAACTCACACATTCAGAGTGAAGAGGGCATTCATGAAGCTGCCATGGATTTGTGTCCAACCAGTAATGGAACTTCTGTTTGTTAACACACCCAGATAAGTGGAAGTGTGCTTCATATTTCATGATTGTGTCTGCGTCATCTGCCACAATTTCAAGCGTGTTTTGTGCAAAGCAATGCTGTTCGGCCAATCACATTCAACTCTTGCACAACCATTATCTTGTATGGATGAAAATGCAAGTCTAGGTACAATATTCATCTCACACTCTGATCTGAAATGCTTAATGCAATGGCATGCTTCATTTTGTGTGTGTTGCGTAGCATTGGTCACAAGCTATAAACATCTATCCTGTTGTCGAGTGTGCTTATGTGATTGCCTAGCTCTACATGTTTCTCTCTCTCTCTCTCTCTCTATATATATATATATATATATACAGGGTGTCCCAGGAGGAATGTGCCAAACTTCGGGAGGGTGTTCCTTATGTTAAAGTATGCCGATATAACCCAAAACACCTATGTCCAAAGTTGAACGGTTACGGAGATAATGGCCAGAGAAGTGTCAAACTTTGACCGGGGTTACACACTTGTTGATTACAAAATAGATATTAAAACTGGCAGGAATATGTGGATTCTGTAATGTTAATAATGTACGTAACATCAAACTAACTTGTGAGTGACGGAAAGCCATAAAATTGAAGTACAAAATACTCGCTCGCCATGTCATAATTGTCCTTAGGTTTCCAAGCAGTATACATAACACATGACTGGCGTGCGATGACGTAATATGGCTGCGCTATGAGCCGACCACATAACTCTTATTATACCTACATTCACGGATAATCTCTTTTGGAATTTCGTTTCCATTATCTCATGTGGATTATTATGGGACCACGTATGCACATTTCGTAAATTATTTACACCGTCCCGGGTAAACGACGCCTCATCACTGAATAAAATGACGCTTAACAGTTCGGGATGAGCTTTTATCCAGTGGCAGAAATCCATACGCTGAGCATGGTCGCCTGGTTCCAGATGTTGTACCCTTTGATCATGGTAAGGATACAGGTCTTCGTCATGTAAAGTTCGCCACACCTGCATACGTGATACGCCGATGCGAGAGGCCATTCTACGAGTGGAGAGACGCGGACTTCTATCAATCATGCGAAGAATGTTCTCTCGTGTGTTTCTCATTTGTACATCCTCCCTTTCCGACTGCACAGAAACACTCGGAAGAGAACCAGTCTCACGCAATGTCTGGTGAATTCGCGTAAATACACTTCGAGATGGAATCCTTCGATCGGGAAAACGCCTTTGGTACTCTTCAACAGCAGCACGTGCATTGCCACCGCAAAATCCATACACAAAATGCATATCACAATACTCGACGTGTGAAAACACAAAAGGCATTTCAGCAACTCATCACACAACTAATTTACCACCCATTCACGACCCCACTGCAACGTAATCTGTAGGCAGCGCATGAGCTTACGCTAGTGTGACTCGCGGCACTCAAGGACAAACAGATAAGGGTCTCAGCTGACAGGTACGTATAGTGCGTGGACCTGCAAGAAGACCACACTTTTCTCGGGCCATTATCTCCGTAACCGTTCAACTTTGGACATAGGTGTTTTGGGTTATATCGGCATACTTTAACATAAGGAACACCCTCCCGAAGTTTGGCACATTCCTCCTGGGACACCCTGTATATATAGACTGTTTTCATTGTTTTGGGCCATAGTACACACCTTCAGATTTTCTGTACTTATTTCAGGGACATTCTGTATGTGTGTGCATGTGCATGTACACAAGGGTGGGCATGATGATTTGAAATGCTGTGGTCGGACTTCAAGATGTTGAGACAATTTGGAGCAGAAAGTATAAATAAATTGTTTGATTCATCACCCGTTTCAAGTTACAGTATTTCCCCACTTTTTAAGAAAATGCAGTAATTTTCTTTTCATATACACATTAAATTATATATATTTAACATCTTTAATAGCTATCTTTATTTCACTTGTTGCATTTGCTTATGTTACGATATCTCACTTGACATGCTGTATAGGATTCATAGAAAGTCTGAAGAATTACAACTCCTGCCTAAGGACATGGGCCCATCCGGAAGGTGCTTCCTGCACTAATATGTACGTACCAAAATATAGTGTGCTTTAACATATAACCAGTGACTCAGCCTTCATAATGAAAGAAACTTACTGCACACAGAGTACCAGTTGACAAACATTCAAATAGAAGATAGGTGAAATAAATGTGGGAAGTCCATGTAACAGGCCATTCTTCAATTAACAGCCTGTAAGGGTTAATAGAAACCAGTTGCATTGTTGTTCCAAACGAATTAATGACTAGCATGATTGTAGTTGGTCCAAATCATGTGTGTTTGTGATTGCTGATGACTGTTGGCGACAGTTTTAATGAGAATAAAGCAAAGTACCTTCTTTTTTAATTCCTCGGTCCACATAATATTTGGCTTATTAAGCATTGTAGTTGTGGCAGTTTAATGTGTAAAAATGAAATGATTTTTTTCCAAGTAGATTGTATGTTAAAAGGAAAAAAAAATGTCTGTGTTTCTCCCTTCCCCCATATTCCTTTGTATAAGCGTTCTTATGACCTTTCAGTTTCTGCAGTTTGTTCATGGGCATGGCATGGTCATGTAGACAGATGGGCTATATATGAAATTAAATACTCTGACAAAGGGTGTATGTCACTTTTTCTGTGTTTTATGAGTTGTAGCAGACTGACCTATATTTTAAAACTGATACTTCAGGATAAAAAATGCAACTGTTAAGCATGTAAATGTTGTATTAAGTTATTTTTAAGTCTGTCATGATAATTTCCCCATCTTTCAGAGTTGTGGTCATCCCCCCCCAAATTTGAACAGTTCTGCATACATTCCTTGGAGTCCCTTTGCCCTTCCCTTCAGCCCTTTCCCAATTTTGCCAATGCCAGTTAACATACACAGTAACATATATAAATTAAATATTCAGGTTGTTGGATTAGAAAACCAACTTAAAATTTATAGTCCTGTACCAAAGATCTCACTTGTTATGACAGGTGGGGAATTGATGTTAAGCTGCCCATAATTGGGAGCAGATAGGGAACCCAAATATATGGATTATGAAAGGAAATGTTTCAGAGATGTGAGATTTGTTCAAGTAAATAAGGTAAAGGTAAAGTTGTCCCTGTGCTTAACAAATTAAGCAGTAGGCCTTGAGGACATATGTAGATCCACATATACTTGACTTCAGTACAAGTAGGAGGTGAGCAGTCAGCTTCATGTCCTGGCCTCTTTACCCTGGGGGAACAGGTCCCAAGCACCCATTGGATAAGAGGATGGGTGGGCCCCAGAACTGGTCTGGACAACATGGAGTGAAGAAAAATCTTGCATCTACCAGAGCTCAAACTCCAATTTCTCAGCTATCCAGCCCATAGCCAGCTGCTGTACCAACTGCACTGTCCCAGCTCCTGAATACTTACAGCACAGTTGATTGTATTTTGGTCTTTTCCAGTTTGTAGAGCTGAATGGTATGTGGCTCACAGAGCCACGACAGGCATATGTCCAATTATTGAATGCACTCACTGGTCAGACTGTGACAGCAGAACAAGCACAGCAGCTATTGGAACGCAGATTTTCTCGTACTGCACACCGACGCATAACTACGTTGCTTTTGGTAGATGAGGTAATCACAGCCAGTTTCCTTTCAATTGCTGTTCATATCTCCTGGAAATGCATATCATAAAGTAATTTGCATGCAGAATTGAAACATCAGCATATTCAAGTTGCTTGTAAATCATGGAAGACAGGAAGAAGTACATCCAAGAGATTCACTCATAAGAACATAACTTTTAGTCTACTTCCCTGTTGCACACACCTCAGTTCCACAAATCTTGTGTTAATGTGATTTTTAGGTAATATAAATTTATAATCTAACAGTAAAATGCAATTTGGCTCAAGGGTTAATGTACTGGACTGATGTAAATGATTGTAGAGTAGCATGTTCATGTTGATTGGAAGAATTTAACCACATTTGATATCAAATTAAAAGCTAAAGTAACAGTTTTGCACAGTTGCCATTTTTTACACATACTCTAACTGAAGTTTCATGACAGAATTGCTTGTTTGATGCTAGTAGTTGCATGCATGTAAGGTAAGGTGAAGTTGTCCCTGTACTTAACTAATTAAGCACTACACAATGAAGGCATGTGGGGGAGTAGCTCCACATTTACTTCACCTTGTCAATAGCTGGAGGTGAGTGGTCAGCTTCATGCCCCGGCCGCTTTGCCTCTGGGTACCCATTGGATGGGAGAAAAAATCATGACCTTACTGGGACTCAAACTCCGACCCTTCCGTCATCCAGCCCATAGCCAGTCACTGTGCTGACTGCACTATCTATCAAAATATGGTCAATTTGATTGTGTTTTTCTATCAGGAGATGTCTGAGTAAATTTACAAATGTCTTGTTCCCATAGCAGACAGAGTATATGAATGAAAAATAGACCTTTTTTTTTTAGTTGGCTATTTAACAAAGCCATCAGAAGATTAATCTAAGATACATGCAGTTATTCATGCTGTAGGAACAAGGATGCATCACTGTTATGTCATCATTACAGAGTTACTGGGGTCTGTTTTCAATGTACTTCCAGTATTCATAAACTGGTAGGAAATTTCAAACACATTTACATAGGACATCTATTCCAGAATGTTGCCTGTGCAAGGTAAAATAACCCTGGTTCTTAGAGTGGGTGGTCATTATCTTTAATATTTTTCAATTATATGTTTTAAATAAATGTGCATAAGTGTGAGAGTATGAGACTTGTAGGCTACTTCTACTGTACAATTGACACAACTAGTTATTCAGTTTTCAGAAAACTATCTGCTGTTTACCCAGTCTGTTAATCAGAAAATATTTTGAACTGTTGCATCCTGCTTTGTATTAACTGACGTCAAAATCTACAGTGTAGAACAGTAAGGAAGGGCCAGTGAAAATGTTCGACTAGCAAATAATTTTTACATTCCCATACGTGGGATACAGGAAGAACAGCAATCAACAAGAGACTTGAACATTGGGTGTTTTTGGTAGGCAACAGCTTGGTAAACAAATTTGGGCAGGAGCATTAGAACTCTTGAACATGTGTTTTTTTGTGGTCCATGTCATGTCACATGCTCAATGTGTAGTGAAAGGAAAGTAGGTGATTAGTTCTTCCCCAAACTTCATGTAAGTTTTGTTATCTCCCTGCTCACCCTCTCAGCCATCCACAACCTACCTGTAAAGTAGTTCAAGTAATGAGAATAATTTATGGCTCAATATTATGGTCTTTTGGGTTATGACAGTGCATAGTCTGGTAAGTAACGCTTTGGAGCAATCTGTCTCCATATTGAGGGTACAAGTTCAGGGCAACAGGTTTTTCAGAAACACTGGTTAACCAGTAGCCAGACTACTCAAATGTTGATGTTGTGAAGACCTTGAAACTCTGTGATTAGCTTGTTATCAGTTTTATGAGTGCAGAATTTTGCTCACAAAATGCATGTTCTCCTTAAATAGTCCTATTTGGCCCCCAAGTAAAAGTGATTGTCCTACCCCTGATGTAGAATCATATGTGATGTAATACTTTGTAGTTCTGGTAAAAGGGTCCAATGTTTTGGAGAGCTCCACTGTCTCCATCATGATTGTAGGAATGACTATTGATCTACCCTGAAGATGTGAACTTAAATTCCCCCAGAATGTCAGAAGCTGAACTCTGAAGACTCTTGATTTTGGTAAAATTATTTTACAGTTGGATCTGCTGTGGACCCGGCGGCAGGATGTTGTTTACAACTTGTTGGACTGGCCTACAAAAACTTCATCATGCCTTGTTGTACTTACCATTGCGAACACTATGGACTTGCCTGAGAGGCTATTGATGGGGCGAGTGACCAGTAGACTAGTAAGTTGTGATCTTATACAGAGTGTCTCATAAAGTAAGTAAAAGTAAAGCTCTCCCTGTACCAGGCGTTGAAGGGCGATAGGATTGTGAGACGTTGAGGGTCCCACATTATCTAGACAGTCGGCTCAAAGATGACGGTAAGGTTGTCGGTCTTATGCGCCAGCCGCAGTTTACTCCCCAGGAAAATTATTTAATTTATTCCTGGTACTCATTTCTGTTGGAGGCTGAGTCGACCCCAGGACCATAGTGTGGCCAGGATTAGGTCAACTGAAAAATTCCAGTGACCTCATTGGGACTTGAACCCTTGATCTTCCGGCTTGTAGCATAGCCCCTCAACCAACTACACTAACACGTGCCCCCTCAGAGTGTCTCATACACCATATACAGTCAACTCTCAATTATCCGGGGGCGGATTAACCGGTTTGCGGCTTAACCGGGGCTACTGAGGCGTTTTTGAGGCTTATATGTTTAATATTCATTCACTTTTATTTCACATGGTGAGTTGTAACACTATTTTCGCACTAGTGTGAACCAAGCTTTGCATTCTTTGGTCCCATTATGCTAACACAATGTTCTGGGGTAAGGGTGAAAGAATGCAAGGATTTATGGAAAGTTTCAAGGACAGATACATCGCCCCAGTTAGTATCTTTGTATCGATCTTCAAGTGCGTTTGCAAAATGTCAGGGTGTAAAAGGAAGCATGTTGTGTTAAGTATCCAACAGAAAAAGGAAAATGCCGCAAAAAAGTAAACGACAATATTAAATTTTTTTAAGTGTTAAGTGTGAATATTCATAAAAAATGTTGGATGTTGTTGAAGACTGTGATTGAAATAACTAATTCATATTTCAGTGTAATGTAAAAAAAGTATTAAATAGGCCATGAGATGACATAAAAATGAGGTTGAATAAATTTAAATACAGGTAGGCCTATAGTATTATGAAGGTACAGTATTTCAGTACTACTTTTAATAAAATTTGTCTTAACCGGGTTTTCGATTAATCGTGATTTCTGTCCCCACCATTAACCCGGATAATCGAGAGTTGACTATATTACGGAACAGGTTCTGGATGTCAAAATAAGTAAAAATAAGTACACTGACTTCCTTAAGAAGTCATAAAACCATTCAGAAATATCGGCCTCTGCTATCACATTCTAAAGAAGCTGGGTTCCTTGAACATTTTGTTTGTGTCCTGTTGTGATTGTAGGGATCCATTTGACGCTGAACTTTGTCATGATGTTTACAATGTCTGACAGTCTTACTTTGAATATGTAGTATTGTACACAAACGCTAATACATGTTACATTTCAAGGCAACCTGGAGCAGTTTAAGCTTGGGAAAGCACTTCACATACTGAACTAGCATGAAAAGTGGCTGTAGACATGCATCTTGTGCTAGTAAAATGCAGGAAATGCTGCAGATGCTCTTAGAAGATACAAAGGAAAAAACCCTAATGGGGGTATGACTGATGTTTTATTTTTTTTGTATTGACTGCAGATGGGGCTGTTTCATGGAATGTGATGGGCTGTTGGTTTTCTTCATTCTCTATATAATGTTTGAATTGAAGAGCAGATTCTTGAGATCAAGATCATTGAAAGACAGCCTGCTGTCGGTACCAGATGTCTTGCACCCTATATATGTGGTGCAATCCAAAAATTCCCGAAATATATTAATACAAACTATTACATCTTACCTAGATCTTATTCTGCACCATCACCTTCAAAGTAGTCCCATTTGGAGCGCATACACCGGTCCCAGCGTTTCTGCCACTTTTCAGAATGCATCCTGGAAGTCTTCCTTTGTTAGGGCGTTTAGTACCGTCTGCGTTTCTGTTTGAATGTCCTCAACTGTATCAAATCTTCGCCCCTTCAACTTGATTTTCATCTTGGGGAAGAGAAAGAAGTCGCATGGAGCTAAGTCTGGCGAGTATGGTGGGTGGGGAACAACTGCCATCTTGTTTTTAGCCAAAAATTCCTGCACAATGTAAGCCGTGTGCAGTCGTGCATTGTCATGGTGGAGTACCCAGTCGTTCGTGCGCCACTTCTCTGGATGTTTTCTCCTCATGTCCTCCCTCAAACACCTTAGAACATCGCGATAGAACTCTTTATTCACTGTCTGACCAGGAGGGATGAACTCCTTATGAACAATCCTGTCAATATAAAAAAAACAGATCAACATGGACTTAATGTTGCTCTTGACTTGTCGAGCTTTTTTTGGCCGAGGTGTAGAAGGACTCTTCCATTGCGACGATTGCTGCTTGCTTTCAGGGTCATAGCCATAAACCCAACTTTCGTCACCAGTGACAACCTTCGAAAGAAAGTTTGGATCCTCTTGAAGCTGTTGCTGAAGTTCCCTGCAGACTTCCAAGCAATGCTGCTTCTGTTCATTTTGCAGCAGTCGTGGCACAAACTTCGCCGCAATCCTCCTCATGTTCAGTTCCTCTGACAGAATTCGTTAACATGTACAATAACTTAGTCCCAAGGTGTTACAGAGGTCTTGGATGGTCAGTCTACGATCTTGCAGAATCAGATCCCTAACTTTTGCGACACTTTCTGGTGTTTTGCCCGTTGACGGCCGTCCCGAACAATCGTCATCATCAGTCAATGTTTGGTCATTTTTAAAATGCTTATACCAATTGTAAGTTTGTGTCTGGCTTNGTATTTTGATGTACTCATAACCATTCGCGCACAAAATTCAAATTTTGGACACTTTTGGATTGCCCCACTTAGGTACCTGCCATGCTTAAGTACACTATGCATTACAAGAACAGCAGTTGTAACCCTATAGCATTCAGTCTGTGCAAGACATAGCACCACATGATGCACCTGCAACATGTATAATCTGTCAATGGATTTTGCAACTGTCATCTGAAGACCCAACGTTTACAGCAGAGGTTTTATTCATGGACAGATCAAGCTTTACTAGGACTGGGATCACCAGCATTCACAACAGATATATATGGTGACATGAAAATCTGCAGATGATTCAATATGGCTATCAGTGACTACTGACTCCCTCTGTGGTCTAGTGGTCAGCGTTCCTGGCTACAGATCCAGAGGTCCGGGTTTGATTCCCAGCTCTACCAGATTTTTTCTGAGTAGTGGGTCTGGAACGTGGTCCACTCAGCCTCATGATGATAATTGAGAAGCTATTTCAAGGAAATAGCGGCTCCAGTCTAGGAAACCAAAATTAAAGGCCGTGGGGACTCGTTGCGCTGACCACACGACACCTTCTATCCACAAAAGTTGGCACTAAACTTCACCGACAAGCGGCAGTCGCTCGGTAGGTTTGGTTTGCTTGCAGACTGAAATCATGGAGTTTTTTATCAGTGATTGCCTCATAGGTGCTGACATTTTGTGGGCACATTAACCTTTAATNGCTGCCACTGTCATTCATTTGTGACATTAGGACGGTAAAGGTTAATGGCTGTAATGAAATGAACTATGGAAGATGTGTCCTTCAATATGCATCTTCAGATGTGGTTTCAACACAATGGTGCTTCTCCACATAACACTTGGGAGGTGTCTGAAAATTATCCTGGGCACTGAATTGGTTGCAGACGTGAAGCTTCACTTTCCTGGTGTGCATGCTCACCTTACTTGAAGCTCCTTAATTTTTCTGTGAGGATGTTTGAAAACCAAGGTCTGTGCCTGTACTTTGTATTGGGAATGTCCCAGGTTCAAATCTCAGCCTGGAGATCATCTTTCTTGACAGTTTTTCATGATGTCCTTCAGTCCCTGGAGGAAATTCCAGGATAGTCCCTCAGGTTATTTTCAATTCATTATTTCATAATTATCTTGCCATTCAAGGCCATGTGTGTATGTGTATGTATGTGATCTGAGCTGTTGGAAGTGTTTTTAAATAAACCATAAATAAATAAATAAATCACATATTCACAAATTAAATGTACTGTTGACGCAGTTGTTATTTCTTCCATTATGTCCTTTATAACTGCTGCTTTTAGTCATAGATGTTTCCAGGGAGGTTTAAGACTTTTTAAGAAAGCAATAACATTACATGAAAAGTTGATCATGTTAAGAATATGGTGCTGTGGGCATGTGTTTTGAATGGGGAAAAATAATATTCCTTTAAGAGAATAGAAAGGTGTCAAATAATTATCGTGGAAAACAAGGATCAGGTGCTAGATGGAAAGACCAAGTGCAGGAAGATATAAAGGAGAGTAAGGAAAGAGAAGTGCACATGGCTGGATAGAAAAGAATGGAGAACAGTTTTTCGTAAGATAGTACACTCTAATGGAGACACCAGTGAATGATATTAGTCTATAACTGCCATGCCATTGTTCAGATGATCATTCTGTTACAAACTATAATATAATTTACAACATATGTTCTCTTTGTTGTGGGAACCTCAACATCTCACAACCTTATGGGCCTCCACGGCCTGTTACAGGGATACCTTTACTTATTTACTTACGTTCTCTTTGTTACCAGTAATTTTTATTTTTTGCTACATAAGAGTTTTATTTCATGACACAGATTTATTAAACCTTCATATACTGTTAAGCTTTTGAGAATTTTGTGAATATTGTATTGTATATTTTGTCATATCTTAAATAGGATGTCTGATCTGTACCCTAGAAGATACAAAATGAATGCATTAGAGGTTCCTCTTGCATTACTTTCTGAGATGCATACCTGATAAGAACCATATCTTAGTTGTGTGTCATATTTCCTTGAAGTTCAGAAGTAAATTCTTTTGTTTCATTAGGGGCTGACAAGAGTAACATTCCATCCCTACACTCACAAGCAGTTACAAGAGATTGTTATAGCACGACTCAAAGGTCTGCAGGCATTTGACTCTGATGCTATTCAGCTGGTGGCTCGGTAGGTGAAGTTTTATCATCGGTAAGGATTATACATAGAGGATTTGAGGTCCTCAATATAGTAGTTATGAAGAGTCCTCTTCTGGGGATATAATATCGTATAGCCCATTGAAAGTCAGCTGGCATATTTGTCTGAAATATTACCTGACTTTCAGTGGTCTACATCGTGTTTTATCCCAGAAGACAGGATTCTCTATTATGCAGAGAGGTTTATTTCTTCATTTGCGACCTTCTTATCGCCAGTTCTTTGAGTGGAATGCTGGCTAGAGAGCAGCTCCTTCCTGGTAAGACTTAAACACATTCCATCATGGATCTTATTGGAAGTCATGATTTTGGTCTGTGATTTTAGTACGGTTACTTACCTGTATCGTAATAGCTGCTGAAAATGGTGTCTTTCAATATCCAAGATATTACAGTAATGTAATGCAACACATTGAATGTCACCCTCAATGATTTCTAGAGTAACATTCTACATAGGAAAGTCATCAAATTTTAATTATCACCCAGAAGAAACAGGCACAGGTACAAGAAATTGTGTGTGAGTTAGTCCTCTACATATGCCCCCTGCAAGGCCACACATTTTCCATAACGATGCATTAGCTGAATTCTGTTGTGCGATCGTTTGGGTCAAATGACTCAATGCAAAGGATATTCATAAAGAAATTTTTCTTGCTTATGGTGGGAAGTGTTTATTGCCTAAAATGGTTCACAAATGGGTGGAGAAATTATCTCAAGGGTGTTCAAAAATTACAGATGATGCCCAACCAGGTTGTCCTGTTGAGATTGCGACAGAAGAAACTGTACAGCAGGTGGAAGAGTTGATTTGAGATGACAGGAGGATAATGATTGACGCTGTAGTAACTGCACTAGGGTGTTCCAGTGGTATGGCATACAGCATAATACATGATCATTTGAAATTTCAGGAAGTGCATGCATAGTGGGTGCCCAGAGAACTGCAGGATTGAGAAAAAAATAAGTGAATGGGTCTGTCCTTACAACATCTCTTACAGTATGCAGATGAAGGGACATATGCTTAACAGGATTGTTACTGGGGATTAATCATGGGTGCATCACTACCAACCTGAATCAAAGCATGCTTCAATGAAATGGAAATATCCCAGTTCACCTTCAACCAAAAAGTTCAAGGCTATGAGTATGCCATTAGCTGGAAGGTAATGCTTACCATGTTTTGGGATTCTCATGGAGTACTGTTAGCCCATTTTCAGAAGTGTGGTGAAAATGTGAATTCTGCATCATACTTTGAAGTTCTGTTGGAGCTTCAGGATGCAGTTTGCAGAAAACCTCCAGGTCAACTGGAAAGAGGGGTATTGCTTCATCATGATAATGCCAGACCCTATACAGCCCAAGCAACCAATGAGAAAATTCAAGAACTACTGTGGGAACTTCTTGAACATCCACCTTACAACCTGAACTTGGCCCCTAGTGACTGCCATATGTTTGGCCCGCTGAAACCACCTTGGTGGCAAACATTTCACTGATGATGAAGAGGTTGAAACAAAGATGCAGAAGTGGCTGAGAGAGCAGTCAAAGACTTCTATGCTGCAGGTTTCGACGCACTGCTAAAGCGATGGGACAAGTATATCAGTGTTGGAGGATATGTCAAGAAATAAATGTTTTTTTCCATGTTTGAATGTCACATGTTTCACATTTTGTATCCATTTGTGATATATTTACTGACTCCCTCGTACATTTCATTCATGGTGTTTGAATATTTCCTGCATGCTTTCTGGAACATGTATTTATTTTGTTTAAATTATTCTGTTTTGTGAATGAAGATTGTAATGCTTTATTGTCAGAAAAATTTTACTGGCCACACTGGGCCTTTTTAAATAAGGAGACAGACAACAGATCAAGTACACACTAAAGATATTCCATTTAAGAGGGAGAACAGGTTCATAGAAATGGGAAATACATGGAAATGAGCACTGGATACTGGTTGTTGCTGCAGAAAACATGAAAAGTATGCAGGAAATAGTGAAATACAATGTTTAATAGCTTTAAAATTGCAGGAAGGTGGCAGCTGTATCAGGAGATGCAAGGCGAGCTCTAGACATCTGCCGACGAGCTACTGAACTTGCAGAAGGGGACACAGAGGACAGTGATGGAACAGTAACAATGCAACATGTTGACCAGGCACTGGGTGAAATGATTGCTTCTGCAAAAGTCCAAGCCATCAGGTAAACATTTGTAGGATATGAAATTCCCACAGCAGTTGTTAGGAGAAATTCTGTCTTCTGGGATATAAAATTGTGTAGTCTGGTGAAAGTCAACTAACATTTTGGAGGAACATGTCACGTCCACCTTCAGGATCAAAGAATAGGCTGAGAGAGAAATCAGGCAGTGAGCAGAACAATTTGCTTATGAAAAACCTTGGATTGTATAGAAAATAGTAGGGAACCACAAGACAACATGTCAGTTCCCATTGGCTCCCTCTGAGACCCTGGGAGAACCAATAGGAGACAAGAGAAAAATAACGGATCAGCCCTTAAAAGGGCCATTTGTGAAAACCCTGGGATTGTGTAGGAGAGAAGCCATAAGTGTGTGAGTAGACAGAGAACTGGGAAGGGTGGGAGAGAATGCTGTGCAGGATCTCACAGAGAACTGGGAAGGGTGGGAGAGAATGCTGTGCAGGATCTCATATCCAGCAGAAATAGAGCAGGGAGGCCAGGTGAGGAGGAATGGCTTGATCTTCAGCCCTTATGGTTGAGGTGTGTCGTTCCCCTGAAATGTGGGTTGAGTTTCGGCAGACAGCATGGTGTTATATACCAAAAAATAGAACTCTTCATAAGGTAAATGTTTGCAGACTACTTTATCCATGGGATTTGAGGTCCTTATGACAGTGGTTATGGCAAGTACTACTGTCTTCTGGGATGTTGTGTTACATAGCTTGGTAGAAGTTTACATTCATTTTGGAGGAATGTATTGCCTCCATCTTCAGGGCTGAAGAGTAAAACAAACAGTAATGCCCTGTTTGCTGGGCTTTTATTTGTCCTGCTTTTATTATCTTCCCTTTGGTTTAATTAATTTAACCCTTTGCTTGCCAAGCTCTGCCATAGACTGCCTGCTAGAAGAATCAGGGCTGCTTGGGGTTGAACAGAGTTGCACAGAAAACCCACAGTTCCTCTCAAATGATCTTCAGATGATCACAAGTTTAGAACAGACTGATCTGTGTATAGCTTGCACCTCATTTGGACTGACATATGTGACCTCTACCCACATAATTATTGTATATCTTGTATCATATTTGTGCAGGTACTGTAGCAAAATGGAACAGTTATTTTTGCAAGCAGTTGCAGCCGAGATTCAGCGTACAGGTGTTGAGGAGACAATATTTGAAAATGTTTACATCCAGTTAAAGACTCTCTGCGTATTTGATGGTAAGTAGCAGGTCGTCTAAACAAGAGTAAATATTAGATAAATGTACAGAATATGCTGTAACAGGAAGGTGGTTGTAATGCTGTAACAGGTGCCTAGGTTATATTATATCAAATAAGGCTTTGGGAATGTCATGACCTGTTTTATATTGCTATTTGCCATTTTCCTGGAAGGAAACCTTGTAAACCTCTTTTTCTTTTTATTGCTTGTGGGTTGGGACTAAGTCCCTTGTACTGCGGCCACTTCTGGCCTATTGTACCAGCCCCAGATGATAGGTGAGGGTGATTGTGGAGAAATTGGTGGAATGAAGATTGGCAGGGGAAAACGAAGTACTCGGAGAAAACCTGCCCCAGCACCACTTTGTCCACCACAAATTCCACTTGACCAGGCCTGGGATCAAACCCAGGCCGCTACGGTGGGAAGCCAGTGACTAACCACTTGAGTTATGGCATGGCCTTGTAAACCTTAGTCAGGATAAACAGCCTCTGTGTCTAAATGTGACACATGTAAAAGTAAGTAAAGGTATCCCTGTAACAGGCCGTGGAGGCCCATAGAGTTGTGAGATATTGAGATTCCTACATTTTCTAGACAATCGGCTCATAGATGGTGGCAAGGTTGTCTACCTTATGCTCCGGCTGCCCTTTACCCCCAAGAATATTCCTGGAACTCATTTCTGTTAGAGGCTGAGTTGACCCCAGGGCCATAGTGTGGCCGGAAGGATTAGGTCAATTGAAAAAATCTAATGACCTCATCAGGATTTGAACCCGCGACCTTCCGGCTTGTAGCACAGTGCCTCAACCAACTACACTACCGCGTGCCCCCTAAATGTGACACATATAAATATTAATTGTAATATTAGATAGAAGATTGTGGTTCAGTGAAACATTTTTCTTAGTATGCAATGAAATATTGCTAGTTCACAAATCAGTGACCCTGAAATTATGCAGATTTCATTTAATTTTGAAGTCACAAGCAAATGCATTTGTCACTCACTCTCTTGTTGATATGCTGGTTGCAAGAATTGTAGACTACAGCAGAATGCTGATTGGTGATCCTTTTAATGATTTGCTCATTGTGACATGTTTCTCATGAATCCAGGAAAATTTAGGGACATGACCTTAAATTAAGATGCAGTCTCTTTCCTTCCAAGCCCTTCTTGACATACACTTATTGTCCAATGCTGTATACCATATTGGTCACAAAGCAAAATCAAGTTTACAGATTAAAGGAACTGAATGTTGATGTTTCAGGTCATACAGTGCCATCAGTTACAGATTCCCTTGGGCTCTGTGCACGTCTTGGAAGCTGCCGCCTGCTTCTGACTGAACATTCTAGAGCAGATGTGTATCAGCGAATTTTGCTGAATGTCAGTTGTGATGACATTTACTATGCCTTGAAGGTTTAGTGATATCTTGTGTAGATAGAAATATCAGGTATTGGAAATATGCCAGAGGAATATGTGATGGTTATGTAACATTTGGTATTCTGGTGAAATATTTTGTTATGTATTTGGTATGATTTAGAATGAAATAGGAACTTACTTTATTTATTTTGCATGTAGTAAGTTTTTGTGACTGGTGATAGATTCTTGTGATCATGGTAATGAACCTTCTGGTTCCATAAAATGAATTTCATGAATACTTGACCAATACCTGATTCTGAAGAAGGACATCACTTCATTTGGATGCTGTAGGAAGTTTATGTTATGTTTTCAGAAGTCTTGATCTAGTAATTTGTGGCAACCATTTACTTTTGCTTGTGTTTATACACATTTAACCTTTAGGAGAAGGCATTTAAATCTCCAGGATACTGGCTGAGGTTTTTAAATGCCCTTACATATCCCAGATGCAGTGGTTCAAAAAATAAGCAGTATTTACTGCATCTTTAAGATATAAGCCCCAGATAAAACTGGATTGTTAAAAATCAACCCATTTACCTATATATGAAGTCTTTAAATGACTATTCTGTATATACGCACATGGTTTACATTTTTCTTTTATCATCTTTATATGCTCACTTCCATCTGATTTTATATTTAGCACTGAAATGTGCCACAAACTTTTGACAACTATATGCTGGATGGTGGTTGTATCTGTGTATGGTATGATCGTCCCCTGCTTTGACATGAGAACTACCATAAAGATAACTGCAGACCTTCTATACAATGATTCTGCTCTTCTGAGAATAGAAAGAGTGGGTATACCATACAATAATAGTCACTTTTCATTCCCTTTTAGGTTTGGTGTGACAGGAATCAAATGACAAGTTCATTGTATTTCAAACTCTCCACCATGCAATTTGAGTTTCATGTCTCTTCTCTGATACTATATAAGAACCATGTTTGTCATATAGCAGTTTCAGATGACAACACTTGGATGAAGATGAGATTAAGCTAATACTGGACAGTGACTTAGAAGTGAGTGAGGAATCTCTGATGAAACAGATGAGGAGAAAGATGACATGACAGAAGAAGCTCTAGTTCTGCCCTTCCTGGGAGTACACAAGCAAAATCTTTTAATGGACCAGTTAGCTGGGTGTGTCCATGACAACACAAATAAAACTTCTGACGATAAGGTGATACCGACCCCACTTGCACCACAAGGGGATACTGAAGTGGAGACAAGTCACGGGTCAGACCAACAGTAACATCCATCCATTCACTGGTGACATGGGCAATAGACAAAATGTGGCATCCCATGTAAATGAAGACTGGACTGCATTTAATGATTTCATGTTGTATTTTGCAGCTGTTATCACTTTGTTGCTAGTGGAGACTGATCGATATTACCAACAGTACTTGTACTTCCTTGACAGTGGACTTTCTCCTATACCTGACATCACTGAATCTGAAGTGTTTCGGTTTCTGCAATTATTATCCAGATGGGACATGATACATGACAACCTGAAAGACTATTGGTCAGTTACTGAACATTTCTTCTCACATTTTTATGATAAAACAGTGAGACTTGACAAGATTTCTTCCCATTCTTAGATTTATCCACTTTTCAAACAGTGACAATCCTTTTAACAGTAACGACCCAAACTATGACAGACTGGAAAATAAGACAAATTTTTGACATACTAAGGAATGCATATTCAAAATATTACACTCTGTCAGAACATCTTGCTATAGGCAAAGTTATAGTACTTTTCAAGGTACAAGTAATTTTTGAACAATACATACCCAAGAGACAGAAATATTTTAGAAACAAATTTATAAATTCCAGAGACATGGTAGCAAAACACATAACTGTGAAACAATTGACAAAAATGTTGAAGAACATGGGCATAAGCCATACACGGACAACTTCTGTTAGTTGCCAGAGTTATTCAGTGATCTGTCACAAAAGAAAATCAGTTGTGGGACAGTTGGACCTTAGAGAAAGGGCATGCCACAAAACAAACGATTGGGACCAGGTGATATTCATTGTAGGACAATAGATGGCATGACATCAGTGGTCTGGAGAGGTAAACATGACATAAACATACTGACAAATATGCCCATTACACCAACAAACCATAACTTCTGTGAGGACTTTGGAAATGCTATAAAGCCAAGAATTATACAGGACTACAACCAACATGTGAGATATGTAGACAAAGGGACCAGAATGGTGAACAGTTACATGATGCAGCACCACACATGAAAATGGACAAAAAATTATTTTCTTCAGTAGATGGGCTTGAAAATTTTGAACAGCTTCATTCTCCTGACTTCATGTTATGCTAGAATGACTCACAGACATTTCAGAGTTGCCCTCTTGCAGAATTTGATTGAAAAGGCTAGTAGTTTATGTTGTCCATGTCAACCCTTGGGCAGACCAATGGTTTTGGAGAAATGGGCAACCAGGCTTGTGATGAACTTAAGTAATCATTAGCCAGTTGATCCTCCAGACTTTACTGCTGTTTCCCACACAAGAAATAAAGAGGAGGGTAGAAGTAAAGTATAAGGATTGTGAGATGTAACTTTGTATTGGCGAGTGCTTTGAAGCGTACCACACCAAATCCAAGGCATTATGCAGAATGTAAAGGTGTTGGGAATCTTAGGACATTGCCTCCAAAGAGGTATGTAAAGGAAAATATTTATTTTGTATATTTCTTGCAAGGCAATCAAAGTAATACCAAGAAGACCAGCTTATGGTCTAGTGGGCCAAGAGAAAGTATAATTTAAAGACCAGCATATGGTCAAACAGTCTTCTAAAGGTTAGTGATATACTTACATAAGATCAACATGAAAATTAGAATATTTGTGAGAACTGAGAGTACAAGAATTTTCTTTAATGGACCAATTTTTTTTCACAGTGAACCACAGTGTTCTAGTTATTCCTTTTGACGTTAGATTATTTTTCAGTGACAGATTTTCATAAATCATGGTATTAAAAAATTTGGCTAAAGCTATGTCCATTTCATCTTGGACGGAAAGAAGGGTAGGCAGGGTTTATTGACAAGTTGATTAACTCTTTGACTGGCGCGGGCATGTTTTAACGCCCGCACGATGCCAGCCATTCCCTGGTGTTGGCATGTTTTAGCGCTTTGACAATCTCGTCCCGTCTTTGCNTGATGATAGTGGCGATGAAATAATGATTCCTGAATTAGATGAAGTTGATAGTGACAATAATACAGTGATAGACATTGATCCACAAGACAGTAATCATGAACATTTAGCCAACCCGAGTGCGGTGCCTGACACGCCCATCTCATGGATGTACGGAGACATTGTACCAACAATAGTTCCATTTACTAGTAGTTCCGGGTTCAAAACTGATATAACACATAAAATGCACCCCTTTTCATGGATAAAATTTTTCTGGATGACGACTTAGTAAATCACATCGCAACTGAAACCAATCGCTATGCTCACCAGCAATTCAACACACATGAGTTAGCTCCTCACTCTTGAGAACACAATTACAAATATGTCACACCAGATGAAATCTGGACATACTTAGGAATTGTGTTCATGACAGGAATCGACAAATGCCCTGAAATTGAAGAATATTGGTCCACTAGGCCCCTATTTCACACTCCATGGTATGGACAAAAAATTTCTTTGCGGTTGAATAGTTTCATTCTATTCAAAAAGAACACAACAAACGAAAAATACAAGAAGAGAAATTACAAATTCAAAGATTTTATATTGGACTGTGTAGAAAAATGACTGAACCAAACAAACAGGGTGGAGAGGGAGAAGAGTCAAGGAATGAAGTGGATGACGAATCTATTGCGTCAGACTCGAGTGCAGTCACGCCTCCGTCCTCGACCTTGAAAAGACCACCAGTGAAAGAGCCAGTAAATCGTCTAGAGGGTGGCCTGAAAATTCACAAAATGGTCCATGTTTCTCCCAGTAACAAGAAGAATGGTGCCATGAGAAAGTGTCGCGTGTGTGCTAAGCACAAGATTAGAAAAGAAACAAGTGTCATGTGTGCAGGCTGTGGTGTGGCTCTCTGCAAACTTTCATGTTTCAATGTTTATCACACGAAGAAAAACTATTAAAGAGGTATGGAAAGGCATTTAATGCATAAAATATTGTCTTTTTATTAGTTCCTGAAAATTTCGTTTTTAAAAACGAATTTTTGTTGAAGTTGTTTAGAAAAAAGTAACTACATGCATTTTAGCGACAAGGTTTAAAGGGCCTGCCAGGACAGGGGTGGGATTTAAATAACCTTCGCGCCAGTCAAAGAGTTAATGGTAGTGTTGCCAACAGTTACAGTTCTTTAGTTTCTATGGTCTTCATGCTACCATGCAAAGCGAAAGCTATTATATGGAACTTCTCAAAGCTGAAAAAGTCAGTGTTTGAATCCATTTTCTTCAGTTGATCTTGAAAGTTTGACACCCATGTGTGATATATAGCTGTGGCATGTGTGAATATGTCTGTGACTGGTATCACAGTGGAATTGTAATGTGAGTTTTATGTAAATGAATAAAGATGAAAGGGAGGATATGACTTGCAAATGTTCCAGTGATGTTTCCATAAAAGGTTGAATTACTGTTGTTCATGACATAAGAAGATGCCACTCTTGCACTCACTTCCTTGGACCCCATACATCTCCCATGAGGAAGCCACCATTCTGTTTCCCATTTCCATACTGCAGTTTCGTCGACACACACACCCAGTTAATGCCAGCATGTTGAACAAGTGCAGCTGACATCATAATATGACAGCAAGAAGAACAATGAACAAATTGTTTATCACATGCAAATTGTATGTTTTTATTTTTAAATCAATTTTGTGCATATTTTATTGTATGAATGTATACCCATGTCAGCTCATAATCAAGTGAACTAATATTGAAAATTGACAAACATAATGCTGTAATTGTAATTTCCTATAATGGTCGATTCGCAGACTTGCGAGGTGGGCATGACATTAATAACACTTAATATAAGGTTTTAGCAAGATGTCAATAGACCGCAGGAAAATAAACATATGTTGAGATAATATATTCACGTTTTGGTAAATTACCTCCAGCTAGTGCTGAGGTCAAGAAAATGTGGATCTATACACCCACTCTCCCATACACCTTCATGGTGTAACAGGAACACCTTTACATTTTTTACCTTTAACATTGTGATAAATTTTCAAAATTGTAACATTTTCCAATTCCATCACACTTTGGTTGTGTCAGGATATTGCACATTATGGTATTTGTATGTTCAGTCGGTTTGTTGCAGCAGACCACTGCATCCATCTTCACTCGTGCATTCTGGTAGGGTATGGTCATATTGGCAAACACTGGTTGGATGTTAGTATCAGCTTACATCAGATCCACATCATTCAGGTGGGTTTTGATCACATGCCATTATGTTAGGGCAGGATAGGTTAGTTGGCATACCAGATCACTGCTCATCTACTTGCAATTTGTTATATATAAGTTCTTCAGATTTAAAATATACTTTGCTGGATTCAGAGGAATCTTGTAGACTTTCAGATTTGTCTGCCTGTGGGTCCTATTACACGTACAGGCAAAGTTTTTTTTTCCTAAGTTTTTAGTGGAAGAAGCAATGCAAAACTCATAACACAATCATATATATATATATATATATATATATATATACACAGAAAGCATCCAGACATAACTTCATGCCTGAAGTTAGACTAGAAATTAATGTTTCACAATTATAAAAACAAGCAATCACTATTTGCTAGTAATGAAACAATTTTTTAATTTTCCGGCTACACTGAGAATGATTCAGATGAATGAAAGTTATGGTGACTACTGGATATCTTTTGTGAATAGAAGGAATACTATGTATGTATGCAGTTTGAGCAACTCCCAGACATGGCATTTAAATGTTGGTAGTGTATGATTCACCTCTCCCTATCCCAGTTGCATTCCCTTGTGAAGCCTGTATAATTTCCCCAAGTCTATATTGCAAGCAGCATATATAGCCTATATAGCTGTCTGTCTGCATGTGTAATAAGTATTAATCTAGAGAAAGAGTTCATGTGCATATCCAGCTGTCTCTTTGACAAACAAGTAGTCACTAAAGAGGCAAAGTTAGAGAAATCTTCTGCAGTCTATGTGAGGGAAAGTTAGACTGTGAGACAGGGCGCAGGGAAGTGAAAGAGACAACTGTAAACAGAGAGGGACATGGTTAACAGATCAGTAAAGTAGACATAGCCACCATATTTGCCACACAGACCATATCTAGTCCCCCAAACTAATCATTTAAATTTATTTTATGCAGAACCCACTTTCATCCTTTTTTATTGGACTTGGTAACAGCATGTTGTGAGTAGAGAATGGCATAATGCAGTCCATCAGCATAAAACTGCATGTCATCATGGGAGAACTTCCCAGTTTTCTGGACTGGTAGATGATTATATGTGGGAGAGAAGAAATAGTAGGGACTTCTTAATTTTGGAATTCTGCATTGTGGCAGATTTATTTAGTGCAGATTCTGTCCATAATTTCAATAAATCTGGCAGGTATTCACAAGTGTGGCAACCAGCTATTTTCATGACTAATAATTATTTTTGTTGAAAACCTCCCAGTCTGAACAGGGATTTTCATTTTATCTTCTTTATATTAATTGAATATTTTTACAATAAAATCTTACAGAAATCTTTAAGCATCTCTTCAGTTGGCTGTAATAGATTGCCCAGTGAGCATATTCCCATTTAGTAAGCTGCTCTAATTTAAAGTAGTCATGTTTTCTTCACCCTTCACCTTAAATTGTAAATTAATTAATATCATCTTTACAGGATTTTACATGGAGAGAGTTATATGATATAAATTATGTGGCCACAGAACTTGTTTCTGACCTTTAAATGTAGCCATGGAAATTTTTGCTCAAGAACTCTTGAGATAGACAAAGACTTTTGAACTTCGTGACATACCTGCCCTAGTTGACTATGTGCTGTCAAAAGTAACAGGAGAGAGACTGCAAGGTGCTATGAATCAGGGGTGTGCTTCCAAAATTATAACTGCTGGTTCCCATATTCAAATGCAAACTGAACACTTTTTTATTAACCTGGTCTCTAGAATGGAAAGGAAGTTTATAATTTGTTTCTTGCTTTTTTTATTATATATTGATACAATGGCCAGAGATGGTATATTGTACCAGAAACAGATGATGGACAGAATGTGTAGCATTGGTGGAATCATGAATGAAAGGACAGAACCTAAAAATTTGGAGAAGAACACTTCCCAGTTCCACTTTCTGCTCACATATCCCACTCAGGGATTTAACCTTGACCTGCAAAGTGAAAATCAAACAACTAACAGCCTGAGTTTTGCAAGGCCTTTTATTGGTTTGAACCATTTTAACTGTGCCGGTTTTGCTTCAAGAGCACAGTTTTCATATGTTTTGAATGTGTACGTAAGGTCAAACTGGTTCCAGTACACCCCTCCTGTAAATCAGAATATAAATTTCATTGAAATTTCAGTGTTAAATTCTGGTGTCACAGTACCCATTTCACTGATGTGTACTCTTATACACTGTAGCCCATG